GTCGAGTAATATAAAATTAAAGTATCACAAATTTCGCGATCTACATTGCTGATCATTTCCCGATTGCAGACTTTTGATCACCGAGTGACCGAATAATGATCAGCAAAATGCACTATGTGACATGTACTACACTATGTGCCCATCTCTATACATGTACTCCTGAGTCGTAGTATTAAGTATAATAAACTTTGTTCTCATCGCCAATAAAGTCTTCAAGTTCCTTAGTAGTTAATCCGTTTTTTAATGGGATTCCAACATTTTCAATAATAAATTTGCACCATCCAAGAATTTATTTGGTATCATAGGTCGTAAACCTTTATAGGTATCGCATACAAGAGAATATTCATAACTTCGTCACCAAATGTCATTCATCTATTACATTCGATAGCTATAAATATCTGAGCTTTAGTGTATGGCTTCCAAATAGCACTGCTGGACCCATAAAAGGAGGCACTTCACAAATTTTTTTCTACATTTGTTGAAATTTGAGCCGTCTTATGTAATAAATTAGATGTTAAAGAGTTCACTGAGTCAGTCTTTTGAATTCACTCAGCCTAGGATCTGATTTCTGACTTTTGGGAACAGTGTCCCAACGTTCACATGATCATAATTTTATTCCACATAATACGCACAAATTCAACCTCGAACCGACCCATTATTAAAAACTCTATTTCTGGACCGGACAAAGGGCGGAAGTCATGACAAAAATTTACATACATAGTGAGATGTGCATATGCCATTCAAAGGAGTACATACATGTTACATGTATTTTTTTCTGAAATTTTACATGGGCTGAGTGCAATAGAAACGGTGTAAATTATATTCCGCTTCTATTGCACTCAGCCCACATATGAAGAATATGTATTAATCGCATATTTCAAAATTTTTAATTTGTGCATGGCATACTAATTAACCCAGACACGTTCTTATCGAGAAATTTGGATTCATTAATTCATGCTCGCTATTTAGTGAATGTACAACATAAAATAGGCATATGACCTTTTAGTATAAATTCTTTTTTAAAATTAATACAGATTTCTATTCTAAATCTTATTAAAATCTAACTCGAAATATAGTATTAGAATATTATATATATAAAAGAATTGAAGATATCAAATCTTTTGATTAGAATATTATTTCTAAAAGAAATTGCTATCAAAATATAAAATAATAATTTTTAAGTATAAAAACTTGATAATGGAATGCCATTTATCATACCACAGTGAGCCAAAAGAATCACATAATAAATGTCACTTCCCTAAATCAAATTATCTTTAATTTATAAATAATAACTTTTATGAATTTTGAGATATTCCCGAAAATAAGGAATCCTCTATATTATCAATTTTGAACCGAATTTTGGTTTACCGAATGTACAGTACATATTTTATTAAAAAAAAAGATCTACGTGTACAAACTTGTTTATTAAAAAAAAGACCCCGCGTTCCCAGCGGTTGCGAGTATAAAAAAAAGATCTGCCGTGTTTGCGTTAGTTAACTTATATTTTTCAAATGTTTAATCCATATGGGTGTTATACAACATATTTATTGACACTGTTTAATTTCATTATTCCTTCATTACGTAAACGGGTAATTTTAAGTTCGATATTGCAAAATTATTATTTGATTGAATTCATCTGCACCCATGATGACTGACCCGACTCCGTTAAACAGACCCGTCACTAGCTTTCATTATTCTATTTCCTTCCCATTGAACTGATAATTACACTCATTGCTGGTTTGCCTAACAGGATTCTTTGTTACGATGGGAGCACAGAATGTGTCAAAACGAAGTTTTAATACTGTAATTTTTGTTAATAACGATATAGTGGAGTTCTCTATAACGGACTGGATTCTTCGACCAACAAGTTTGTTATCGTGAGGATCGAGTATAGAGATCAACTATTATTGGTTTACTTATGAAAAAAGTTACCTTTATATAAACTGCCCAATTTTCCTCAAAAATTATTCTCTTTTCATTATTGCTAAGCAATTAATTAATATTTTCGTATTGAAATTTAAAGATTATTGTAAATACATCAAAATCAAAATAATGAATCAACCTCCACCAAACCAACAACAATTTCAGCAACAGATCCCAGCTGGGCATATGAATCTTATCAATGGTACAAATAATATCTTCAATCAACAACAACCACCAGCTGGACACATTGACATGATGCAAAATTTTATAACTGGAACCACTGACATATTTATCTAATGAATAATTCTATTATAAGAATGTTCATGTATTTAAAGATAGTTTATATAAATCACAAATTCAAATAAGCTGCTTCTTATCGATTTAATCAATACAACAATTATTTGCTTTAACATAGTTAATTGTATTGAGCACTAATCATTGTAATATGCAAACATTCAATATAATTATTTATAAAATTTTTGGGGTTATTATTACAAAAATTCCGAAGAATATCTTATTCCTCACTCTTACATATGTGTAAACCTTTCATATTCTTTTTTCTTTTTCAAGTTATTATGAATTCGAATCAATAAATGAGACGGCTAATTGCTTTTTATAAATTAAAAATCTTTTATTATTAATATTTTATGTTTATAAAATAATGCCAAAATTAATGCATTTAAATTAGCTTGCAAGTAATAGTGTTTTATGTGCACAAATTTTTGATAAAGAATGAAAATATGTTGAAGCACTAATAAATGTCGTGAAGACAATTAATTTTACATATAATCTTGAGCCAATTTTAAGCTTAACTCCAACCTGCTAAACAATCTTTAACGGTATTTATTATCACAATGGCTTCTACATGAACATGTGAACTTGAATTTTCGTTTGTTACATTTTTTTATTGTGACTAGAGTAGTATGCTCTCTAAATGCTATAATGACACTAAAAACTGAACCAGGGAGATGCATTTCTGAAAGCAGGATGTTTATAAATATATGGTTCATATAAATCTTTAAACTAAGAATAAATATTACATAAAATTTATCCTGCAAGTGATTAACTATTTGTAATAAATTATAATGAACCTCTTGGGCTGAGAGTCATCTCTTTGTTAATATAAAACGAGATCCGACAAAATTCCCCCCTATTTGGAATTAAAAATATTATTGTAATACATGGTGTGTTAGCGTTAGGGCTAAATGTAGTATTACATCATGAACGTGAATACCAATTGAAACATCTGCCGATCTAAAACATAGAATCGGAACATAATTAACAACATTGAACATGTATTGCATACTGTCCAACTTATTATGAAACATAAGAAATTTGATCTCTACATAGTCAGTTTTTTATATCCCGAGGGTATGATTACAGTATATGGAGAGTTGACTATTTATTCGGTTTATTTTAATATGAAAAACTTCGGTATATTTCTTACACATGGTAATATGATCACATCATTTTATCAAACTTACCTATGAACTCATACCAGATTTTCCGAAACTGTGAGTGGTAACTGTTAATCCAAAACACCTGGTAATTTTTTTCAAAAAAACCTTCAGCGAGATCTTTCATAAGAAAGGGTGTCTTATAAGTATACATATCGTAAAATTAATATCAGGATAGTTAACATGAGGTTTTTACCATTTTTCATAAGTAAAAAACCCTTAACTTGATTAATAGTAATTAGTCTCTATTGGCTAATAAAAAACATAAAATATTCAAATTTTAGAGCATAACTTTATTATATGTGATTTCTAAATTAGATATGTATAAATTTATAATAAAATACAGTTTTCATATAAAGTTTCTCATTGTAAAGGCACTGTTATACCAAGCATTTTTCACTTTATTTAATACTTCAACCACGGCAAAAAATGAACTTTCATCAATATCCACATGGTGTATGTGACATACTGGGTGCATAAATTAAGAATGCACAAATTTTTGATAAAGAATGAAAATATGTTGAAGCATTAATAAAATGTCGTGAAGACAATTAATTTACATATAATCTTGAGCCAATTTTAAGCTTAACTCCAACCTGCTAAACAATCTTTAATGATATTTATTATTACAATGGCCTCTACATGAACATGTGAACTTGAATTTTCGTTTGTTAAATCTTTTTATTGTGACTAAAGTAGTATGCTCCCTAAATGCTATAATGACACTAAAAACTGAACCAGGGAGATGCATTTCTGAAAGTGGGATGTTTATAAATATATGGGAAGCGGTTAAGCGTAGTCAATCATGTGATCCATATCCAATAGGGGTGTGCAAATTTTTTGATCAACCCGGCAAAACAAATCCGTCATATGATATGAAAAATGAATGTTACTCGAAAGCCAATGCCTAAATCTGTCTTGAAATACTAATTAAAATTGTCGGGACAACAATTTTACGTATAATCTTGTCCTCTGCCCTAACCATTATCCTTACCCAGACTTATAAATCATAAAAATTGTTAATAGTAAACTCTGAAAATTTAAGGGGATTTATCACATGATGGACTACGCTTTAACCGTTCCCATCAAAGCGATAGAAATCCCCTTATTTGGATTACATGATTTTAGAGACTAAAATGTAGTATTTGTAAATCATTTTGCAGAAAATGCCGTATGTATATATTTTATGAAGAGTACATTTAAAGAGTTGTCATTATTAAGAAAAATTGGATAATTTTTACTGTTAAACAATTTTCATACCAATTCACTCACTCACTCTATTATTATACTTCGTTTACACATTTCCATTAAGGAAATATTGAGAAATTTGTATTCATTCATGTTTTCCATATTCCGCTATTTATGAAAGTTCAGAATGTACAACATAGATATATCCTTTTTCTATTATAATTATTACTGGATGACCTTTTTGTAAAGTACAGTGGTTGTCATAATTTTTGATATAATGCATAGAATAATGAAAAATTGTCAAAATTGCCTGATAATTTAGACACATCTTCTTTATAACC